TTTTTTTTTTTTGTCAACTACAACAATTTGGTGGTTTTTAGTAGCAGCAAACCGATTGTTAGTAAAGCACTATCACATTGAAGGCAAAGGATAACTAAAGTGTGATATGTTTGTGTGTTTGAACTATCATTTGTTCACTGTTATATGTAAACTACAAAAAAAAAATCAAGGAGAAAGAATGTCTAAATGATAAAGCCAAATCAACAGAACAATTATACGACATATTTGCTTTTTGTTTTACACACACAAAAAACAATCAATCTGTGTTCAAATCAATAGTAGACGGTTTTTTTTTGGTTTGGTTTCTGTTGTAGGAATCATACAAAATCAAGCAGAAACCAACAGCAACATTGATGACATCTGAAAACAACAACAAAAGTACACATATACTGTAATGCTAATTGTCGACATTTTTATCGTACACAGCCAAAAAACCTCCTTTTTTTTTTCCTTCTCAAAACATTCAATTGTTTTCTGTGTTTATCAGATTTATCTTACAATCAACTGTTGACACTTATACAGACATACTTTTCACACTCAGTTTCAATTCTTCATCAATATTTTTAACTGTATGTACAATAAAGTAATAAAAAAAAAACTTTTTCACTTGTAAAATTGTAAATTTTTTCTCCTTTTTTTTTTTTGCGGTTTTTTATAGTCTGTAACAGTCAATGGGATACCACCCGCTGGGCCAACTTGTTAAATTTCAATCAAAAAACGAACCCTTCAAATGAAAACTGCTGTGTGTGTGTGTGTGTTTGTTACTGTGTTGTCGGTTACACGTCACAAATATATAGAAACTCGAAAATTTTTTGCAGTAATTATCAAATAAACACAGATATAATAATTTGGAATGTTTTCATGAAAATTTGAAAAAAAAATGTATAGAAATAAAGAAACCAAAAAAAACCATTTTCTTAATTACAGACAGAAGAAAAAAAACTAATACTGCAAATTTTGGTTTACAGTTACGAAACAAAAAAAAAAACAAAATCATTTGTCATAAAATTTTGTAAACAAATAAAATGACTGCTATAAAAGCCTTTTTTTTTTTTCTGATCACTTTAGGTTGATAAGTGAAATTCAATAAAATAAACTTTTTAAAGTTTATTGAACAGCTAAAGAAAAGATTTATTATTGATAAAAAGATTTTGAATAATTTTTTCAGTAAATTAGTTCTGATCAATTTAAAAATTACAAAGCTGCAGTTGTATTGAGCAGAAAGAAAAAAAAAAGACAATTTGTAGCCAAACAGATTCTGTAGGATGTCAAACTCCCAACCTGTAGCTGCCCAAATCTAGTGTTTTCACCTTCATCTATCTTTCAGAAACTAGTTGCACATTCAAATTTTACACTCTCAATTATCTGAACCAATTCTTCAGATGCTTGTAGAGAGGTTATAAAAAACTGACTTGATTACACTTCATTTGAGTAACTATAATTGTTGTCATTGACAGTATCTGTCTGAAAAGTTGACAGTTAGTTTGAATTGGTGTTTAAACTGCAATAATTGGAAATAAATTTGTTAATCATCAAATAGAAAAAAAGCAAAAGAACGAAAGATATGAAAAGATTATATACAGTAGCTGAAAACTGACAAATATCATAATATAGAAAAAAATTCTGGTCAAAGATTTTAGTTGGCTGCTAATACTGCTCTTAACGGTAATGTACAAGTTTCTTTTTTTTTGATGGATTTATTTGGCAGATTAAAAATTAAGACCATTAGCAATAATTGTTGAAATAAACGTTCAACTTAATTGTCAGGTAAAAAATATTGAAAAAAAAAACAGAAAGAAACAAATTATTTTTTTAACTATAAACAAAAAGTTGGGTGTAAAAAAAAAAAAAGTGAACAAAATATACACTAAAAAAAAATATGCCCATTAACGATTAATCTTAAGTGACATTTTATGCCACTAATCAATGATATATTACAACTATCAGTTGCATTAATACTGCTTCATCATCACTCTCCTTCTATAGTTAACATCAAAAAAAAGAAGCAAAAGAAATTACCTTAAATTTTTACTTATAGCTTTCCAAATTTTCAGCCTAATTAGTTAACAGTTTCACGGCAGATTCACTAACGATACTTTTTTGTGTTGTATCAAAAATGTGGGGTTTGAAATAAGTCTTTTAACTCTTAAATCTTAATGTTTACCATTACACACTTTTACTTTTACACTATCAGAACCATTAAGAGGTTACAGTTTAAAAACCAGAAAAAAAGACACTTTTTTTTTTGAATAGAATAAATTTTATACTCTCATATTTGTAAATTTTTAAGCTTAGTTGAAGCTTTTAAACTGTTCTTTAATCAACAGTGTTGAGAAGTCTTTAGTTTTGCCTACAAAAAATATGGTTTGAAAAAAATAGGAAATATAAAACTAAATAGTAGACAAATAAATTCAACAGATTAACTAATTTTTGTTGGTTTTTTTTCTTTTTTATTTTGAGATGAAAGTAAAGAAGACAAACCGCTGTCATTCCGGCAGCAACGATAGCTGCTCGGTCTAGTTTCTTCATTGTTCCTCAAGTTGTCCGGCTAAACTGCTTCTAAGATCAATCAAAATCTGTTTCCAACTGATACACTGCTGATGATGATGTTGTCTTGAACTTCACTAAGCGCCGATTGTCTAAACAGTACTGATAAACAAATTTTAATGATGCATTGTGCAGCAAATTTTTTTTTTCTCTTACTTTTACTTTTTAAGATCAAATTTAGTGACACACAGTTTCTACAGATGATTAGCAAATTATTTTTTTTTTCAGACATCTGTACACTTTTATTCTTTGCTTTCTGAATAATCTACGTTTTAAATTTTAATAATCCTTTACGGTTTCATTTTTTTTCGCATCGTTTTTTTTTTCCACCTTAATCGTTCTGTTATCTTTTGCTCCTACAGCTTCTATCTCTTTCCATTTATCATTTAGCATTGTGCAAATTGTGCTTATAAAGAC